GATTTTCAAAGGGAAGAACTTACCCTTCCCCATATTACCCATGTCCATTCTTATGTTGCCGGGCCAACACTCTGTGATTCAGGTCAGATGCTGTCTTCAGGTCACTGCTGCCTGTGACTACCACCATGACATTCGGTAAGCCTGCATGGCTCCTGAAGCTTCCTCTCTGCCACCGAGCCTTGCTGGACCTTACCTCACCAGCGGGGAGACCCCTGCACAGTATCTCCAGAGCCTCTGCCAACTGGGCCTCTCTGGGCCTCTGCCACTGTCTCCTGCCATGCCGCCCAGGCCTGCATGATTCTCTTGCTGCCATGTGACCTGGACCCATGCTGCCCAAGTGCTCATGTGGCTCCCACTGTGCTGCCCAGGAGATGAGGTATGTTGCACAGAACACACTCAGGCTTCTGCAGGTGTTACAGCTCTTTAGCATCAGGCAAGTCCTGCATGGAGGCACTCCACCAGCAACCTCCTACATGGAGGCACCCGGTTCTCTCTAAGCGAGCCAACAAGTCCACTGCAGCCATCTCTCTCTCTCCATGGGCCAAACAGGCAACTGTCTTTTCATCTTTATTTTCTGAGTCTAGGAGATTCTCAGCACAGGGATCCCATTTCCAAAGGATGCCTTCTACTCCAGATTCTTCTTGATGATAGTGAGGTCTCCTGAAACCTCTGTGGGATTGGCCTTTATATAAGTCTAGCAGGATGGCAAAATAGACCAATTCCATAGAGACCACAAGGGGCTCAATCCAATTGGGTGGATTTTCAAGCCACTATTTGCGTAGTAAATCTATCAACCCTGTAGACGGACTGCAAGGGGCTCAATCCTATTAGGTGGATTTTCAAGCCACTATTTGCATAGCAAAACTGATCAATCCCCTAGCTGGACTGCTAGGGGCTCTATTATGTGGCTTTTCAACTCACTATTTGCATAGTTAATTGACCCATCTCTTTGCAAGCTTGTGGCCCAGCCAGTCGTTCTATGGGAGTTATAAGACCATGGCTAGAAAGGCCATATAAAAGCGATTCATTGCACTGCATCGGATCTTAACATTGTCCTTAGGCTGGATATTTTTGGGTAGCAAAATATTTGTTGTTGTTGTTGCTGCTAGGTACCATTGAGTTGATTTCAACTCATAGCGACCCTATGTATAACAGAACAAAATGCTGCCCAGTCCTGTGCCATCCTCACAATCGTTGCTATGCTTGAGCCCATTGTTGCAGCCACAGTATCAATCCATCTCATTGACGGTCTTCCTCTTTTTTGCTGACCCTGTCATTCTCCAGGGACTGGTCCCTCCTGATAACATGTCCAAGGTAAGTGAGATGAAGTCTCATCATCCTTGCTTCTAAGGAGCATTCTGGCTGTACCTTTTCCAACACATATTTGTTCATTCTTCTGGCTGTCCATGGTATATTCAATATTCTTTGCCAACATCATAATTCAAATGCATCAGTTCCTCTTCAGTCTTCCTTATTCATTGTCCAGCTTTTGCATGCATATGAGGCAATTGAAAATACCATGGCTTGGGTCAGGCAAAACTTAGTCCTCAAATCACTCATTCCTACATACATAGGTGGTACAATGAGGCTGGGTGAACCTAATCAATAGAGAACAACTATTCTAAAGGCAAACACTGACAGATTTTCCACATATAACCAGGTCTAGTTTATTTGTTTCAAGAACTGTGAAGGGTCTGAGATATTATCCTGCTTGCAAACTCACAAACTGGCCTGCTACAGTTTCATAGGTGCTGGCCAAAGAAATGAAACTCTTGGGTCAGAGATAAATTACTTTTTATTTTATTGTGTTGTAGGTGAAAGTTTACAGCGCAAATTAATTTGTTACTGAAACTTTTATACACAAATTGTTTTGTGACATTGGTTGCATTCCCTGCAATGTGTCAACACTCTCCCTCTTTCCTTTCCACCCCAGGTTCTCTGTGTCCATTCGTCCAGTTTTCCTGTCACTTCCTGCCTTCTTGTCTTTGCTTTTGGGCAGGTGTTTTCTATTTGGTCTCGCATACTTGGCTTAACTAAGAAGCACATTACTCACGCGTGTTATAGTTTGTTTTGTAGGCCTGTCTAATCTTTGGCTGAAAGGTGGACTCTGGGAATGACTTCAGTTCTCAGTTAGCAGGGTGTCCAGGGGCCATAGTCTCGGGGATTCCTCCAGTCTCTGTCAGACCAGTAAGTCTGGTCTTTTTTTGTGAATTTGAATTTTGTTCTACATTTTTCTCCTGCTCTGTCCAAAGCCCTCTAAAGATAAATTACTTTATTACTCATGGTATAGGAAGCAGCAATGGGCATCAGCATGTTTGTGTCAATTCCCATTGTCCTTAATCCCCCCCAGGATGACACGGATGGGCTCAGATGGATGCCTGTATACCCAGTAGGATGCATTACAGGGCAGGGACCCTGACCTTAAGAACCAAATCCTTTATATAAGGCATAAAAAATTTTTGCTTCTCTTTGCTTCAGGGGGAGAAAACGTGTCTGTCTTCCAAGGTTCCCTATACAAACATCCTTGAAAATATAATCCAGAAGACAGGACTGTTTAGATCACCTGCTAGTCACCCTGCTGATGACGGAAGGATTCTTACCTTAGGGTTATGGGATGGCTGAAGATATGACACCTAACACTGGTCAGATGAGATCTACAGCAGTTTATTAGTTACATATATTGCAGCCCAGGGGGACACCACACACCATGGGGGGGGGCCACATGGGGACTGCACTCAGGAACAGAGTGAAAAAGCAGGGCTGTGGAAGGCAGACTTTGTAGTATCAAGGGGTTGGGTGTCCCCCAGTTCCCGAGGGAGGATGTGATTGGCTTGTTTGAATAATTTTGTGGGTTGGCAGGGATAAGCATTCAAGGATAAGCAGGCACTGTGCCTGTTTTTTTGATTAGGAGGGTTGTTTGGCTAGGGGATCTTATCTGTAGGAACAGAGCAGGGAGGGGAGCTTGTGGTTAGATTATTGGAGGACCTCCTGATTTCAGCAGGTGTCAGGGCAGCACATTATACTGAACCTCAGTATTAGGTTTTACACCACAAGGACAGCGCCTCATTCACAAGACACGTAGAAACCTAAGAGTCTCATGGAGAATTGTCAGTACACCAAATATATCAATTTCAACACCAGGTTATATAGAGGGGAAAAAAAGTATTAATGTTTATTTCTATAACATTTCACTTATAAATAAAATAAAATATATTTCCCCTGTCTTCATCTTTTTTTTTCCTTCTGAATTCAGTTTTAGACAGTTTTAAGACCACAATACAGGAACAGGCAAACTTTTTCTGACAGGGTGAGATAGTAATTATTTTACACTTTGTGGGCCATGTAATCTCTCTCGCAAGTAATCAAATCTGCAATTGTAGCTTGAAAGCAGCCATAGATAATGTGTAAATGAATGTGCATGGCGGTGTTCCAATAATGCTTTATTTAAAAAACATGTGACCAGACCACAGGACATAGTTTGCCAAGCCTTACTGTAAGATATCATTCTTTCCCTGACATATGGAACCTAAATAGTTTAAATATTTTTAAGTTTTTTTTAATTAATGCACTTTATCATTTTTTAAAATGTTATTGTGCTTTAGATGAAAGTTTACAGTGCAGATTAGTTTCTCAAATATTTATACACAAGCTGTTTTGTGATATTGGTTGCAATCGTCACAATGTGTCAGCACTCTCCTCCTTTCCGTTTACATCCTGGGTTCCCTGTGTCCATTCTCCAGTTTTCCTGTCCCTTCCTGCCACCTCATCTTTGCTTTTGGGCAGGTGTTGCCCATTTGGTCTCTTAAAGTTGATTGAACTAAGAAGCATATTCCTCACATGTGTTATTGTTTGTTTTATAGGCCTGTCTATCTTTGACTGAAAGGTGGACTTCGGGAGTGGTTTCCGTTCTGAGTTAGCAGGGTGTGCTGGTGTCATAGTCTCACGGGTTCCTCCAGTCTCTATCAGACCAGTAAGTCTGGTCTTTTTTTGTGAATTTGAATTTTGTTCTACATTTTTCTCCCGCTCTGTCTGGGACGCTCTATTTACTTTTAAGTTTTAAAACTGGCCAGATCACTGCTTGTTTCAGCACGATGTCAAATAAAACAGAACAAAACAGCCACTCAGATGCCAAAGAGACATTTAAATGAAATTTAAAGCTTGACTAAAGTCTCTTAAAACAGTGCAAAGAGAAATTCCATTGCACAGCACATTCGAAAATGTCCTAAAATTTATGTCTGCCCAACTATATACCTGGTATATACCTCATGAACCAAAAAACCAAAACCAAGCCTGTTGACATGGAGTCAATTATGACTCATAACGACCCTATAGGACAGAGTAGAACTGCCTCATAGGGTTTCCAAGGAGCAGCTGGTAGATAGCTCATGAAGACATTTCTAATTTTCATTCCCTCCCAAACTCTGTGTCAAAATTCTCATCTACATTGGTTCATTTATTTATTCCCTCTCTTAGCTTTGACCAAGCTCTTTGTTATATAAGTACATTTATCCTTGGGCTTTGTTGTTGTTGGGTGCTGTTGAATCAATGTTTCAACTCATAGCAACCCCATGTGACAGAATAGAACTGCCCCATAATGTTTCCTAATCTACAGAAGCAGATCGCCAGGTCTTTCTTCTCCAGAGCCATTGGGTGGATTTGAACTGCCAACCTTTGGGTTAGCAACTAAACACTTAACTGTTGCACCACCAGGGCTCCTTTTTAAAACCCTGGGCTTTAAAATTGTTTATTCTTTACTCACTATATAGATCAGTGCAACAAAGCTCAGGAGCATGAAAGGCTGGAGGGGAAATTGAATATGTATGTTGTTCAGCCCTTCTCGTCTACATTTAGGGACTTTAAGGGAGGAAATTTTGATAATAAAACCACTTTTTCCCATGTTAGTGGTATAAAAATGAGATATTATCATACTTAGATTTTAGGAGACTTGGGGAACCTTGGAGAGCATTTAGTAAGTCCTCTCTCTCCCTCCCCTTTTATAGATGATGAAACTAATCAGGTAAGAGGTTTGCCTTATTCGCGCATATCCATATCTAGATATTATTTTATGAATTTCAGAAGGTAATTTGGGTAATAGGCAGTACTAGGTGGGTGTCATGCATTGAATTATGGCCCCCAAAAAATGTGTGCATCAATTTGGCTGGGTCATGATTCTCAGTATTGTATGATTGTGTGCCATTTTGTAATCTGATGTGATTTCCTTATGTGTTGTAAACTCTATCACTGTGATGTAATAAGATGGATTAGTGACAGTTATACTGATGAAGTATACAAGATTGGATAGTGTCTTAAGCCAATCTCTTTTGAGATATAAAAGACAGATGTGAGCAGAGACACATGGGAATCTCATACCACCAAGAAAGCAGTGCCAGAAGCAGAGCGCATCCTTTGGACCTGAGGTTCCTGTGCTGAGACGCTCCCAGACCAAGGGAAGATGGATGCATCACAAGGACCTTCCTCCAGAGCCGACAGAAAAAGCATTCCCTTGGAGCTGACGCCCTGAATTTGGACTTGTAGCCTACTGTGAGAGAATAAACTTCTCTTTGTTAAAGCCATCCACTTGTGGTATTTCTTTTATAGCAGCACTAGATGACTAAGACAGTGGGGAATTCTTAATCCCCCGAATTTCTGTGATGCTGGTACCTACTTCTCCACTCAATTCTCTCTCATTAAGAGTCTGGTATGTGCCAGACACTGGGATAGGTTCCAGGGCTGAAAAATGAATGAGACACAGATTTGGCCCTGGATCTTCACCCCACACTTACTTGCTGTGTTATTTGGGCAACTATGTCACCTATCTAGGCTCTAAAATGGGGATGATAAATTTAGCCCCTTCTTTGGATTATCGTAAGGATTAAAAAGCAGATAGCATGTAAAACCTTTAGAATATTGCCTGGCACAAAGTAATCCTACGATAAGTGTTAGCTGTTATTGTCAGTATAATTAACAAAAGAGCCAGAAAAGTAAAAATTTTTATAGTGTGGTGTGTTAAGTGTTATGATTCAGATTAAAAAAGATTGCTGTGGGGGAAAGGATGAAGGACATCTAACTTCATTCTGGGGGAAGTAAGGGGAGGCTTATTGGAAGAAGTGATTCCTGAATTAAGATCTGGAGGATGAACAGCAAGACAAAGAGTGAAGAAAGGGCATTACGGAGAAATGAGGACACAAGAGCAAAGGCTCACAGACCAGAGTGTGTTTAGGGAAGTGCAAGCTGCTTATATTATGAGGAGAACCTAGCAATAAAATACAGTAAAGAAGTATGTAGGGTCCAGTTCATAAAGGAGCTTGCTTTTCATTCTCAAGAGTTTGGTCTTTACCCTACAGTCTGTGAGGAGCCAGAAAGTGGCAGTGGGATGACACTGATAGATTTTAATTTTATAAAGATAATTATGGCACCAGATTATTGTCTGGATGGAGAAAAAACTGTTGATAGCTGAGGGACCAGTGAGGAGGCAATTGTAGTAAACCAAGTGAGAAATAATGAGAACTAGACCCTAGCGGCACAGTGGTTAAGAGCTCAGCTGCTAACCAAAAGGTCAGCAGTTCAAATCTACAGCCACTCCTTGGAAACCCTATGGGGCAGTTCAACTCTGTCCCATAGGGTCGTTATGAGATGGAATTGACCTGACAGCAAAAGGTTCAGTTTTTAGACTGGGTTGTAACCTTAAACACTTACAGAGGCCAAGCAGATGTCATAACTGAGTAAATCCAGATAGGTGGGAATTGTGACAACTTGGAGTACTTGCCCTATATTAGGGGCTGTCATAACTTCAACTTGAAGAAATTCCTTTAAAATTCCTTGAAGAACAGGCATGTCAATGACAGATTCTCTCAGCTTTTGTTAAGCTAAAAAGTATTTTGTCTTCATTTTTGGATGTTATTTTCACTGAGTACAGAATTATGAAATTATGACTTGAAAAGCTTTTTTTTTCCCCTTAAGCACTTTAAAGATGTCGTTCCATTGCCTTCTGGTTTGGATTGTCTCAGATGAGAAGTCAGCTGTTATTGTTGTTCTCTTGTAAGCACTGTGTCTTTTTCTCCAGCTGCTTTTAAGAATTGATTTTTAACAATTGATCATATACTTCGGTGTGGTTTTCTTTGTATTTCTAGTGTGGAGTTTGTTAAACTCCTAGATTCTGTGGGTTTATATATTTTTTTTATCAAGTTTAAAGAAAAAATTTGACCATATATCTTCATACACTTTTTTCTTGTGCAACCTATCTCTTCTCTACTACTGGTACACCAATTATGTGTACTATAAACTGCTTGGTATTGTCTGACAGGTCATTAATGCTCTGCTCATTTTTTTCAGCTCCTTTCCTCTCTATTTTCCAGTTTGAGTAGTTTATGTTGTCCTGCTTTAGGTAAACTGGTCATTTATTTTGCAGTATCTAATGATCAGTATCTATCCTAAAGCTTATCCATTGAATTTTTCATATCAGATATTTTATTTTTTATTCCTAGAATATTCACTTAGTTCACTTTTAGAATTTCCATTTCTCTATTGAGATGCTTTGTTACCTCATTATATTTGTGTTTTTCTTTAAATCTTTGAACATATTTACAATAGCTTTTTACAAGTCTTTATCTGCTAATTCCATAGTCTTTTATTTCTGGGTCTGTTTCTATAAAAATATTGACCTTTTTCCTACTGATTATGGGTCATGGTTTCCTGCTCTTCACATGTTTAGGAACTTTTGATTTTGTGTTAGACATTGTGTATGCTATGTTGTTTTGTGTCTAGATTTTGTCATCTTCTTTAACAAAGTGTTGGGTTTTGTTCTGTCTGGCAGTTAATTTACTTGCAGATTAGCTTGAATCTTTCAAGGCAGGTTTTGTTAGGGTAAGTCTAGAGCAGCACTTTCATCTAGCAGTAGATTTGTCCTACTCTTATGGCATGGCCTTTCTGTACCTCTATTGAATACCTGAGGTGATCAGCAATTTTTGCCACTCAAGTCAGACTCAAATATCTCCCAGCTGAGAACGCCAGTAGTTATTCAGTTTACATCTCCTCAGAGGTTGTCTTTACCACATAGTTGTTCTTTGCCTGGCCTTGTGTGCATGGGCAGCTAAGGATTTGGCCAAAAACTCAAGGAGACCCCCATTCAGATTTATGGAGCTTCCTTTTCTTTGGTAGCCTACCCTTCATCTGCCTCAGTAGCTCCCAATTACATCTCTGTCTCCTCACCTCAGAGACTGCTGTGTTCTGTTTGGGCTTCCTCCTGTCTGTGTTGTAGTCCAGAAAGTGCCTCCAGAAAACAAGGCAATAATGGGGTTCACCCCGTTATTTCCTTTCTCTCAGGGATCACAGTTTGATACAGCCTATTGTTTATATATTTTGTCCAGTTTTAGAGTTATTTTTAATGGGAATGCTAGTCTGGTACAAGTTACTCCACTAGTCAGAAGTGGAAGCCCACATGGGTGATATTTGAAGACTCCCCTTTTGTTAGCTTCTGTTTTCTATGTGATCTGGTAGACAACGTCATCCCCAGAGTGTGCAAAATGAAAGTTTGAAGGAAGTGGAGAAGGCTAGACATGAAGAAGAATCAAGCTACACTGAGTGCCCAGAAAGGTCTGAAGCAATGGATTTACAGTGGCAGCAATCAGTGGCATACACTAGCTGAGCTCAGCAGACAGGGCAGGCTTGTAGACAGAAAACTAATCGTGTGTACCTGGTGGTGTAAAGAGTGGGTAAGAGAGTGAGTGAAGTGGGGTCCATGGAAATCGGGATGGAGAAGGAAGGAAACAGGAAAGAATAGACAGGATGGTGGTCCCAGAGTGAAAACAGAGAGGTTGGGGATTAGAGGGTTTTAGGATTTAGAGAACAAGTGTGGTGGGAGTTAAAGAGAGAGTCTTAGAACCTTAGAACATCCTGAACAGAAAAGACATTTGCATCTTACCTTTCAGAGGTAGAGCACAAGTTCTGGATTACAAACAGGCTCTGAGTGTGGTCATGGGACAGGTGGCAGAAATAAAGTAGGGGTGGAGAGGTGAGGAGGAGATAAAAATATGAGCGACCAGGAATTTTGATGAGAAGTCCACTGAAATGCTGAAACTGCCTAGGATGTTGATAAGTCTCAGTGTGACAAGGAATACAGAGAACTGGGTACTAAAATACTTAACAAAGGGGACAGACTGACTGAGGTCAGTAGGTGATGGTAGGGTTGGGCATTCGGAGGGCTATAATTCAAAGCCTGGGTTTTTAAGGAGCATGGTTTTTAAATGAGATGGAGACATGAGGCTCAAAGTCAATGCCCAGCCCCTCAGCCTGAGCCCATGTGGTGAGAGCATGGCCACCAACTACAACTGTAGAAGTCATGTTGTGTCTACCAGCTCTCCAATCAAGTAGGATACCCCTCATGTTGTAGACATCACGTTTATTATAATCTCCAAACAGGTGGAAGTAACTTGTCTTGAAGAAAATGTGCCTTTTTCTAATGTCCACAGAAGCACTGTATGGGCTGGAGGTGGTCCTGGGTAAGGACCTGCATCCTCCACCTGAGATAGGAAGCATCTCAGGTAAGATGTAAGCTTCTCTTAGGGCCAGGAGGGGGCAAGAGGCCTAAGTGCTTGAGGATGATAAGGGGTTTCTTTGCCATGGATCAGGCTGATTCAGCAGAAATGCTGAAAGGTTCAGATGGGGCTGGTGGTGGGAAGTTGGGTCAAGGAAGGGGAAGCATAGATGATACTGGGGATGAGAATATAGGAGATAATGGATAAATCAGAGCACTTATGTCTTGGTGGTGACTAAGGTAAGAGGGATGTGGGATGGGGAAATTTACCTTTCCAAGGTTTTCAAAAGAGTGAGTCCCAGTGGTCAATTGGTGGGTGAATGGTCAGGGATCTGGTCTGGTATTGCTCAGGCTGAACTTGGAAGAAGCCTTGGAGGACAGAGGTCAGCTGTCTCGACTCTGAGGACAGCGCCTGCTCTTGGGTCAAGGTTTTTAGATTCCATAAATCTGTGGGTCACTGGCTGCTCAATCTATGGTTTACAGATTGCCAACCTCCTGTTAATTTCTTGTGTGGTGGAGAATTTAGAACCTCCTTCCGTCCCTAACACATCTCCCTCTTTTTTCTCTTGGTTTTCTCTCTTATCCCTCATACATCATACCCATATATCACACCCCTGGCAGATCTTTGTCCCCAGTGCCATCTTGTAGGACACGTGCAGAATTCCCTCATGTGCAGCCACCACCCATGTATCAGTGGAGGCTTGAGTATTGCTATGATGCTAAAAAGTTTTCAGTTGCGCTTCCAGACTAAGACTAGGAAGAAAGGTCTGGTGATCTACATCTGAAAATCAGCCAGTGAAAACTCTATGGATCATAAAAGTTCAATCCACAACTGATTGTGGGGATGGAGCAGGACCAGGACCTAGTGTTTCATCTTATTGTGCGTGGGGTTGCCACAAGTCAGGGACAATTTGATGGCAGCTAACAATAACAACCACGACAGAGTTCCCATGGAGGAAACACAATGAACTTCAGAGGTTTGCTGAAAATGAACTTGTTATTACTAACCACTCATCTTGGCCTCTCCTCTTACATAGTCAGCCTCATCTCCATGGAGAGAAGCCTCTGCTCCTGAAGATGGAGATGAGGGCATTCAGACAAGGGTTGACAGCACGGAGCCTGGGAAAGGTGTCTAACTGTGGGGCCCTGGATGGGTTTCCTGGGGTCCTTGAAGGTTCTCCCGTTCCTTGGGGACGGATCTTCTATATATCAGCAACAGGCCCATCAATTTTCTCCAACAGCGTTGGCCACAACAATTTTTAAGATTCCAGTGGCTGCGTGCACTTTATCAGAAGAAATGCACGGTTTATCCTCTGCTGGGTGTGAGCCTGTGTGTGTCCTTACTCTGCCCAGGGCCGGAAGTGCACATGTCCAGCTTTCCACGTCGGCAACCTGGCTGTTAGCCTGGCATGACCCGCCTTTCTGCCCAGGGCAGGGGAGGCCTCAGTGGCAGCAGGGGGCCTGGCTCCTTGGCCAGACGCCTAGCCTCCTCACCTACACTCTCAAATCCCTTTCCCAACAAAGGTCCAAAGTGTGGCGCCACAGGGAAGAGCAGAAAGGTTATCTGTGCATGTTGAGCAAACAGAGAGGAGATTATAAAACGCCCTGAGGCATGTGGACTGTACATTCTGTAGGCAGCTCCTGGAAGAAACATTTGTACCTACGACATGGGACCTCGAGGTTCTGGGCTCTTGGTGGCCCTTCTCGTCCTGGGGCTGTGTGCCATGGCAGCCAGTGAGAAGCCCTGTAAGTGAACACCCCAAAAGTAACCCACTGCGGCTTAGTTTCGTCATCTGTGAAATGGAGCGCTTCAGGCTCGGTGAGCCTGGAACCCCCACGATGCCCCTGGGACATAGGGGTTGTAAGTCTTTGCTTTCAGTAGTGCCTCTCTCTCCCTCAGTGGATCTCTTATTCTACAGGGTTTCTTTTATGTTTCTCTTAAGGGAAAAAAGGGTGTAGGGTAAGTTAATTCAAGAGGGGAAGCAGCTGAAATGATTTTGTGATGCTCTGGTGGCATAGATCAGTCTCCTGCGTATGCACACACTCGCTTTCCCATCACTCAGGCAGGACAGCAGGGGCTACAGGAGACCGCTAAGAAGGGTCTCCGTCCAGGGAAAGGTCTGGATAACCGCGGGTGTGGTGGCCAGGTGGGGAGTGGGCTGGGTCAGGAGGGCCGCCTCACTGAGGGCTCCTCTGAGTCCCACCTGCTCATCTCTTGCTTCTCCTGGGTCCTTTGTTCATGCTTGTTTCCTTTTTAACTCATAAAAACAGTTTCAGCAAAACCTTGTTAGCGCCTCAGAAAAGAATTGCGTAGTTCAAATATGGGCAAGACAAGACTCTGGGTTTTTCAGTGAAGGTGTCCCCGAAAGCCCCATGAGCCAGGCCGGAGCGTGCACCTGCCGCTGGGGTTGGCTGATGAGGCTTCTTCCCCAGCCGCTTGCCGCTGCTCAAAGATTAACCCCGAGAAGAGGGAGAACTGTGGCTTCCCTGGCATTACCAGCGACCAGTGCTTCAAATCCGGGTGCTGTTTCGACTCCAGCATCTACGGCGTCCCTTGGTGTTTCACCCCGCTTCCAGTGGAAGGTAATCAAGGACCCTCCTCCAGGGGCTGTGTCCACAGCAGCAGGGCCAGCTCTGCCATACCCTCCATCCACCAATGCTTGTGCCCACCCAGCCTTAGTCCAGCCCTGGCCCAGGCCAAAAGGGAAGGGACATTCGCCAACCCACCACAGTGTCCACCCTTGCAGATGCTTTGCCAGCTGTGTGCCCTTCTGGCAAACAGTCATTCAAACCATACGGTTGACTTTATTTGAAGAACCAAAAACACTCAGCTCCCTTCTAGCTCTGAAAGTATGACATCTGAAGAAGCTTGTAAGGTAAATGTAACCAGTTACTATAATTTTAAGGGTATAGGTGCTAACAGAGCTCAACTGTTAGGAAATTAAGCTCAGAATTCTAGGATTATCTTTTGGGAGTGAGTTTTACGCCAGTTCATATTATTAAAATACCAAGTCATTCACTCGAAGGTGTGCACAAAAGAAGGTTACCCTGGAGGAGCATCCCCGTGGGGATGGAGCCCGGCGCCGCCTGGCCTGTCATCCACCCTCACAGGAAGGGTTTTGTTCCCCAGGACTGTCAGCCAGGGGCTCATTTGGCTCTGGAAGTGAAACAAGACAGATAGCTGATTGTTACCAAGGGCTCCCGCCCCAGTGAAAGTATTGCTGTGGTATCCACAGCTTGACCAAACGCTTTACATCCTCAAAAGGCGCTCATAAACCTTTTGTTGTCTTGGTACAGCTGACCATCCCCATCCTACAGAGGGGTATATTGAGTCTGGAGCCCTGGTGGTGCAGTGGTTCAGAGCTCAGCTGCTAACCAAAAGGTCAGCAGTTCAAATCCATGAGCTGCTGCTTGGATACCCTATGGGGAAGTTCTACTCTGTCCTATAGGGTCACTATAAGTCTGCATTGACTCCATGGTAATGGATTTGGTTTTGCTTTATACTGAGTTCACAGAGGCAAAATAATTTTCCCAAGGCCCCAGTCCTCCACCTTCTGATTTTGGCTGCCACCTCAGGCTGGTTCATATGGGCGGAGAGGACAGAGCCAGCCCTGCCCTGGCTCTGATGCTTGAAAGAAACGAAAGCAGAACAAAATAACAGTTGCTGTCGAGACAATTCTGGCTCATGGTGACCCTATGTGTGTCAGAGTAGAACCGTGTGCCATATGGTTTTCAATGGCTGATGTTTTAAAAAAGTAGATCATCAAACCTTTCTTCCAAGGCACCTCTGGGCGGACTCAAACCACCAACCTCTGGTTAGCAGCCTATCGTGTTAACCATTTGCACCAGCCAGGGACTCGAACACTTAAATAACCCCTGGGTTTTACAGTCCCAGAAGTCACGGTCCCTTAGGTGCCTCAGATACACTGAGGCTGTAAATCCAATGTTATTCCTAGCTGGAGTATAGGAAAGGCAGTTTCTCGTCAGCTGCTGGCTTAATTGAGTCTCTGTGTTGTCCCTCCCTCGACTCTGGTAACCCATGAGCAGAAGCGGAGCAGTGTGTCATGGAAGTGGCAGAACGCAAGAACTGCGGGTACCCCGCCATCAGCCCGGAAGACTGTGCCTCCCGAAATTGCTGCTTTTCCGACACCATCCCTAATGTGCCTTGGTGTTTCTACCCTCTGTCTGTGGAAGGTAACACAGCTGTAGGACTCACCCCACTACCTCATTCCTCGGGGTCCGTGGGAACTGGGGAGGTGGGAGTCACTGCCTAAATGCCGTCCCGGGCCAGGCCAGTGACTCCAGTAGGTGGCCGTTTCAGGAAAACATGTACAACTATAAGCACAGTACTGATGGACAAGCCTGCCTTCATCGTGAACCAGCTCTGAAGGCAATTCCGAACGTTCTCGACAGTGACGGCCCCTTTTCATTAAGCTTAGAGCCTCCAGGATTCTGGCTGTATGGTTTATGATGGCTGGAAAAATAACATTTTCATTTTCGGCAATGCCCCTAGGTCTCCGCCCAGTGTGGAGGGTTGCCTACATTATGGTGATTCAGTCACCAATTATAGATGCTACTGAGTGCCAGACGCTGGGCTAGGTACCAAGGAGGAGGCCTAGAATAGAGCGGGTATGGTCCCTTTTCGTGGGGACCTCACCCTTCTCTCATGAGTGACCACATGAGACAGATTCTGCCCACAACATCCTGCTGCAATGTCAGCTCCAGGGGGGTCCAGTCTGAGACGTGAATTTTGCCCACCAGTTGCAATGTATCTCCTTCCAATGAGTTTGGAAGACAAAAATACGCAGCCTACTCAAAAAATGAGACGAGAATGTATTGATCTTTTAGGATGTCAAAGTACTCCAAAGAGTACAACCTTTAATTTTAAGAAATTTCCAAATATACCTAAGGGTCCACTTGGAAGTTTTCTAATAGTTTGGGCAGAATGGACCCCACAGATGACAATCTTGCTCTGGAGGATTTTGTTCCTTCCCTTGACCCCTGTGGGAGGGGAGCTCCTCTCTTCAGCAGAAAACTGCTGGACAAAATTTCCTGTTACTGAGTAAATGCACCCAAGCTTCCTAGCTTACGTTCCCTCGTTCCCTCGATGCTTTCATTGACCATGTTGTATTTTAAATTTCTAGACTGCAGTTAATAAGAAGTGCTGGCCTCAGAGAATGGACCTGGCTCACTGAATGTTCTAAAAAAAAAAAAAAGAAGTTTCACTATCTCATCAGCTTCACATTTCAAGTCTCATAAATTACTGAGTTTTCCTTACATCCTTTGTATTCTCCTCAATGGGTTAACATATAACTTCTTCAAGTAAAGAAAACCCTTAAAATCTGTTCAATTTCTTTTTGGCTTCATTGACACAGCAGTGGTGATAGCGTGTGTGTATGAGTGTGTGTGTGTGTAAGAGTGTGTGTGTGTGTGCACGTGTGAACGCGTATGTGTGTGTGGTTTTAACCGTTTTTAATTTGCTGTGAAAGCAACCTATTCATCAAATACATATAGGGTATTTTAGCAGCAATAGAGTAGTCCACGTAAGTGGATTTCACAATCCATGATCATCTTATAACTCCCCATCCATTAAACCCGTTGCCGTCGAGTTGATTCCAACTCACAGCGCCCCCATAAGGACAGAGTAAAACTGCCCCATAGTGTTTCCAAGGCTGTCATTTTTGCGTAAAAGGCTGCCACATCTTTCTCCTACACAGTGGCCTTCAGTTAACAGCCACACACTTAACCACTGTGCCACCAGGGCTCCCATAACTCCCCAGACCCAATCATTTTTATAAAAGTTAAAATGATTTTAGCCCTAAAAAACTCAGAGTAACATATCATTTCAGATGGCAAATACATGATCCCTTCACGTTTACAAAATGTGTCACAGACGACTTGCTTTTGAAATGAGGGCAAGGAAGCAGGTCATCTCCTCCCCTGAGCAGACACTGTCCCTATTCTTGATGTGAGTAGAGGGGGCCCTCCCAACTCTGAGCGTCCATGTTTCTCCCCTCGACCAGAGAGCAGCTTCAACAACACGCTCGATTTGGAGGATGATTTAAAGAGCCATGGAGAGCATGTCACGCAGGCTGCAGCCTTGCACGCAATCACTATTGCACTGAAGGCATTTCATGTGTCTGCTCTAAAGGGGCCTGACACTATTCAGCTCAATGGGCGGGAGTAGGGGGCAGATGGCACCATGTCAGTCTTTCTGTAGCTTCCCCTCCTCCCTGACACCTCACACAGCCCAGCCAACTGGCTCACCAAATACGTCACCCAGTGGTCTACCCCTGTTCAACAAATATTCTGACAAAATCAATTTTATAATTTATTTTGGTTTCAGAAAAGATTCATGAACCAACAGTGGAGATGTGCTATGATGGACAGAGAAAAAGTGAGAGTTTTTATAAGAGATAAAAGGTAGAGAGAGACAGAACAAAACACCTTTCATGTATTTTGACAGGTCTTTCGGTCATACAAGAGCAGGATCTATGGAACGCCCAAACATTTAAACTTGTCTGTTCAAAAATCTGTTTAATGTGGCAACTAAAATTTCTGAGTGAACAAGCAAACATGCAAACAGAAACATTGTGAATGATAATGAGGTCAAAAAGAGCTAGAAATTTCAAATTTGGTTGAGGCGGGCAAGGTGGATCTATCAAAGGCTCTTTAATTCTCTAAGTCTCTCAAAGAGCCTTTTTTAACTCCAGCAAGTCTGGAGAATAAAATAGAAATTCACAACACGCCTGTCACGCTGGGAAATCCAAGGTTGCTGTCTTCCAGGGTGGGGTTGTGATCAGTGACATCGACTTTGCATTGGAAGACGGGAGATGTAAACAGTGTTTCTTCAAGGGATGGAGGTGGGTCCATGTTACTTTTCTGGTTGCAATTACACTTCAGATTCTCATATTTTAGAGAAGGAGGCAGCATACAACTTTGAGTCACTTTTGCACTTTTATCTTGTTTACAACCCATTTATAATCTCAATGAAACAATGGCTCTTGCTGGCAGCATGAGGTCTCAGAAACACTCAAGGCAAATGACCAGTGGAGGCAGAACCCTGGTTCTGGTGAATTTACTCTTTACAGGGTGTTGTACCCTTCCCACACTTCTCCTCACTTTACAAGTAGTTCATGTGTTTGGGAGCCAGCCAGCTCAAGGCAGGCCACATAGATTTTGGGAAAGGGGGCATACTCTTCAGGGGCCACATGAATTATGCTTGCTTCGATACCCCTGGGAGTTTGGAGGTGCTACTCCCAGAAGTGATGCTGTGGCCTATTGCATGCTGGGTCTGGTGGAAGCTCCCAAATCCATGCCACCAGTTGGACATTTTCTGGTCCACAGCCCCCTTGTTCTTGGGGGGCTAGTGTGCAGACCACTTGTATGAATCTCTAGATGCAGGAACATTCCTTAATAAGTAAGCACTTACGTTTCTGATGGAATCCTTTCTTGGGGAACTTTCTTTTCATGCCTTCTCCCTAAATCCCAATCCTCTTTAGAAATTCTCTTTTCTGTATTAACCATCCATTTTGTGAGCCAATTCCTACAGTGTCCTTCTAATAATGGAAACATGGATTCTGAAGAAATTCCAGGCATGTTCACTATGGTCATGGGCTTGGGGGTCCTTTGGTTTTTTAATGTGTTTCAAATATTATAACTCCTGGTTGTTCTGACACCATCAGTTACAGATAACATCATGTCATCCCAAAACGGTTAAGATTACTTGTCCTGGAACACAACCGAGAGTCTCTGATGGAGCAAGAGAAAAGCGGGGTGTGGAACTCAAATTCTAGTAAAAAGACCAGACTTAATGGTTTGATTGAGACTGGAGGGACCCTGGAAGACGTGGCCCCTGGGCTCTCTGTTAGCCCAAAACTAAAACGATTCTCGAGGCCAACTCTTCAGATAAAGATTAGACTGGACTATGGGACATAAAATGATACTCGTGAAGAGTGTGCTTCTTAGCTCAAGTAGATACATGAGACTAAACGGGAAGCTGCTGTCCAGAGGTGAGATGAGAAGGCAGAGAGGGTCAGGAGCTGGTTGAATGGACATGGGAAATCAGGAGTGGAAAGGAAGAGTGTGCTGTCACAGTATAGGGAGAGCAAGTAGGGTCACAAAACAATGTACGTATCAATTTTTGTATGAGAGACTAACTGGAATTGTAAACTTTCACTTAAGGCACAATAGAAAATAAAAATTGAAAAAAAGATTACCTGTCCTCCTTCCACCTCCTTCCTTAGGTGGGCCACCAGAGGGTCCTTGTTGCCTCTGGAGCAACAGCTAGTGACATTTGAGTGCACCTCCATCATCCTTTTTCCTTCCCTCTCTCTTCAATGTTCTCCCTCCTCCCCTCCATTTCTCCTCAATCTCTAGCTATTTTACCATCTCTGCCTGTTCTGCTTCCCCTCTATCTTCATGTCCTAGTGCTGCTGTAACAGAAATACTACAGGTGGGTGGCTTTAAAGAACAGTTCAGGAAGCTAGAAGTCCAAATTCAGGGCACCTGCTCTAGGGGAAAGCTCTTTCTCTGTCACTTCTGGGGGAAGAGCCTTGTTTTTTTTCAGCTCCTGTTTCTCAGATCCTTGGCAATTTCTACATGGCATCTATCTTTACCTCGTTTTTTCTTGCTTGTCTCTGTGTCTATGCTGCTCCTTGTAACTAAGAAGTAATTAGGTTTAGGACACCTACACTGACGTGACCTCATTAACATAACAAGAAGCCCTACTGGTTTCCCAAATGGGATTCCATCCACAGGTATCGGGGTTAGGTTTCCAACTCATATTTTGAAGGGGACACAATTCAATCCAAAACACCTTCCTCTCTATCTGTCTCCTTCCAGAGGCCCCCACACAGTCACACTGGGCTCCATCAGGGTCACTGTGATGGCAGAGGAGAGCGAGGTGTGGGGCAGAGCGTCTAGCGGGGCATCTCATCAGGAGCAGAAGCCAGGTGAGGGCCAGCTCCAGCCCTGAATTCAACCGGCCTTGTGTCACTGGCTCCTTTGACTTCTCTAGGTCCTTGTCTGGCCAGTTCAGGTAATGAAGGTACTTCGAGAAGCAATAAAGGAGAGAGGATAGGTCAACTTGTTGGTGGAGGGAACAGTGAGAGACTTAATGGCACACATGTGGATTGATATCCCAGCTGTGTGACCTTGAGTAGTATACTGGTTTCCTAGGGCTACCTTAACAAAGTGCCACAAATTGGGTGGCTTAAAACAATAGAAATTTATTCTTTCACAGTTCCGGAGACTAGAAAGTCGGGGTGTCAGCAGGATCATGCTCTCTCTGAAGGCTCTAGGGGAAGATTCTTCCTTGCCTCTTGCACTTCTGGTGTTCCCAGCAACCCTTGGCATTCATTGGCTTGGAGATGCATCACTCCAACCTCTGCCTCTGTCTTCACATGGCCGTCTTGTCTCTGTGTCTTGGTTATCTAGTGCTGCTATAACAGAAATACCACAAGTGGATGACTTTAACAAACAGATATTTGTTTTCTCACAATCTAGGAGGCTAGAAGTTCAAATTCAGGGCTCCAGCTTCAGGGGAAGGCTTTCTTTCTCTTTCTCTGGGGGAAGGTCCTTGTCATCAATCTTCCCCTGGTCTAGGAGCTTCTCAGGACAGGGACTCCAAGTCCAAAGGACACACTCTGCTTCTGGCAGTGTTTTCTTGGTGGTATGAGGTCCTCATGTCTCTCTGCTCACTTCTGTCTTTTATATCTCAAAAGAGATTGACTTAAGTCACAACCAAACCTTGTAGATTGAATCCTGCCTCATTAACATAATTGCTGCTAGTCTCACCTCATTAACGTCACAGAGGTAGGATTTACAACACATAGGAAAAGCACATCAGATGACAGAATGGTGGACAATCACACAATACTGGGAATCATCGACTAGCCAAGTTGACACAAATTTTTTTGGAGGACACAACTCAATCCATTGTCTGTCTCTGTGTCTCTTTTCCTCTTTTTATAAGAACACCGCTCATAGTGGCTTAGGACTCACCCTATTCTCATATGACTTCATGTTAACACCATCAAAGACCCTATTTCCAAACAAGGTCACATTCACAGGTAATGGGGGTAGGACTTCGACATATCTTTTTCTGGGGACACACACCATTCTGTAAAGGTAAGTTCTTCCGTCTTGTAGATTCTTAGGTTTTTCATTTTTAAAATGTCACCAATAATTACATCTCTAGCCAGGTTGTAAAGGGAATTAAAATAATGTTTGTGAGCTGCCTGGGGCATAGTGAGCTCCCCCACTAAAGGGAGCTACTGTACCAGGAGAGTCTGGGCAGAGGTGACTGTCTGCTCTTGTCCTTGCACCAAGCAGGCCCACTCACAGGTCTTTATACAAAAGCCTCCCCCATGGAGGTCTCCTCCACAGACTGTAGGAAGCATTATAGTTCTGCTTCAAGAATGTGGGTGAACCTGAAGAATGTATATATGTACATATATATGTATGTGTATATACATGTACATATGTATATGTAGGTACAAAAAACAAACTCATTGCTGTAGCGTCAATTCCGACTCATAGCGACCCTATAGCAGAGTAGAACTGCCCCATAAGGTTTCCAAGGAGTGGCTGGTGGATTTGAACTGCAACCTTTTGGTTAGTAGCCAAGCTCTTAACCACTGTGTCACCAGAGCTCCACTATATATATACATGTACTTATTACATATATTGAACATAAACACATGGTATTATATGTATTATATATGAATAATATATATATTGGAGATTGGGTACATGCAAATAAACACTACCAGCTGTTGCTACAAAGAATCAGCTGCTCTCTGACCCCCCCTTGCCTGAAGGAGGAGGAGGAAAATGACAGCCTATCCGAACCTCCATAAGATGCCATTCAATTAACTGCAATTAGGGTCTTATAATAAGAGTGTCTGTATCAGACTTGCAAATATATATACTGCACATATGTTCTGTAACAATTACTATCTCAAGGCACTTGGTGACTGAGTGACTTTGGGCAAGTTAGTTACACATTTGTGCCTAGTTGTACTCGTCTGTAGAGTGGGGATATTAATAGCACCTTTCTTATAGACTTGCTTTGAGGACTCAACGAGTCGATTCACGGAATATGCTTAGAACAGTGTCTGGCACGTACCAGTCCAGTTGCCTTCCAGTCAGTTCTGACTCATGGCTACCCTATGTGTGTCAGGG